GCAATGCAATGCGATTGCGATTGCGATCAAAGTGATTGCATCGGATTACTTAGTATTTCTATCACTTGCGATAATTCTCCATGTCTGGATTTCTATTATTGCATTTTTATGTTAATAAAATTTCAACAATGCGTGTTTTATTAAGTTAAGTATAAAGTATAACGCTTCCTTTAATAATGGATATTTAACGAAATTAATTTTATGGCAATCGTGATACGTGAATTTCGTGGGTGCAGCCAAATGTTATTTGCAGGCTAAAAGTGCAAAAATGTACGAAATTGCACAAGCTGTCGGTTGTCTTGTCGTCTTTTGTACTTTGCAAATGTCAACCTCGACTCTTCTGCGCTCGAATAACGCAATAATCTAGACGGTTAAAGACCGAAGAATGTTGGATTACAAAGCACAATTGCAGTGTGCCATTGAAATTCATACTCAACTCAAGAGAGGCAAGAAAAATAAAAAAAACTGCATACTTGAAATAATTCAGCTGTATTTCTATACAATTGCTGAGTAATCTGTGCAATATTTGAAGAAAGTCATGCTTAGAAATGGTGATGGTCCCATTTTGATGCGTCCATGCTCCTAACATGGTAGAAAACGATCGTAAATTGCCTTAAAAGTCTGCTGCGTGCAAATGCAAATACTCGATGCGCAAATATGCAAATTACCAGTCATCATACTCAATAATAATCATCGACCATCGTTGTAAAACGGTTGCATAGAATTTAGTATTTGAGGATTTTTGTTGAGATGGATGGAGAGATATGAAGATGTGAAGGCGATGTTAATGCTTGGTTATCAACAGTTATCGTGGTGTGGTTGGAAGAAACTAATGACAGCATCGACGATTTATGTAGCGATATATTCCGTTCGACGCTGAGAATCCCAGGAGGAAGCGATGAAAATCGAGTCTCGTGTCACCGGGTTTATTTGCTTATCGGCGACGTTTTTTCATCGGCTTTTCCGGGCCGCCAGCGTCCTGTCCGGGTTTTTTCTTCTGCCGGCTCTTATGGCTTTACTTGACACCATTAAACCGTTTCTATAGGTTTTACTTTCTTTTTGGATGCAATTTCCTTTCGATAGAAGTTTTCATTTGTTAATTTAATTAATTCTACATGCTTTATATGTATAGCTTTACTCGTATATTATTAGTTAAATTTTTTATCAGAGAAAATAATCGTAACTTGAAACCAATTTGACTTTATTTTTCAATTTAAAAAATTTAAATACCAAAAAAGTATATTTTTGCCACCTGACTATAATTTGAATACATTTGAATTACTTGTTATCCGATTGAGGAAATACTGGATGATTACGAGCCACTGTTTTGTTTCTTGTATTCGAACACCTCTAGGTTTCACATCTAAAGCGGAAACATTAAATTTAATGAAGAAGCGATCAAATTATCCAACTCTTTGACGCCGCCAGCAAACTTTAGCGATTGGTAAACTACTTGCATTTGAAATAAGCTTTAAATAATTAATTCCGTACGTTTAAAACAATTTTTGCAATAAATTTCATTCTATTTAATTGAATACGACTGGCATAGGATATTTATTAATTCGATTGAAACTCTTTTGAATGCAGGCGATAAGTGCGTTGAAATTAAGCAAATATTGCGTAAGCCACTCAGGCCTTCATCCTTCATCAAAATCGCACGTAAGCACATACACGATGAATGTGAATATTTTATTCCTGCATAACGCAACGTGTGCAATTCAATTACGCTTAAATTAATTACGTATTAAGAACGCATCTGAGTGGAAATGCTTCTGCTTCAAATGAGAGACTTTTTTATGTTTATTTCGCGTTTTGTGGTGTTTCCTGGACGCAGTCACTTGAGGTTTTACGCAGATGGCGCAGATTGCGTAATCGAATTTGAATATAAATCTGTGAAGTTACTTCCTAATTGAAAGTTGCGCTTACAGATTTTGCATGCAATTAAAAACGTTCATAAAACAACAGATTACGGATTTAATTCTTCTTATTGAAGCTGAGTAACTAATCAGTAACTAATTATGCTTTCACTGAAAGCATGAAATTCATGATTTTATGTTTGAATGTGATAATGTCGTTGTTTATGCCATCTGTCATATATTAGAATTATATACCTATAACCATAATTAGTTTGCCATATGAACTTTCATCCCTTATTTTACCCTATGTAAGTTATATTTTTATGATAAAAAGTAGCCAATATTATTTTTCTTGGCCAAAAATATCTCTATACCAAAATTTATCAATATTGGTTCAGTGGTTTAGGCGTGAAAGCGACACAAACAAACAAATTTACTCAAAATTGCATTTATAAATTGTGTTAAGATTCTATGTTGATATTTTCAACAAAACAATAATAAAATAATACTATAGTGTCTGCCGCTAGAAAAAAATTTAATTTTTTTGTATTTCTTTGCTAAAAAAGACTAAAAACCAATAACAATTCAAAAATTGTTACAAATGTAAGTTCTAAATTAGTGCCATGGCAAACACAATCTCAATCACTTACTTTACACATTCTACTCCTAATACAACATAATTATAACAAATTTTTCATTTCAATCACTCAACTTCGCTCCAATCACAATCCAATAATTTAATGATCAATCAGACATCAATAAAAAGCCATCAAATTATACCCATTTGTGTGAAGTTGCAACCGTGAATAAATCACGCATTTAACACCTACCTACTTGTTAGTGACCGCTGTTACCGCAGTCTTCTTGATGATGATTATTTATTTCTTGTTTCGTTGTTATGTGCCATGCGTAATATGTTAAGCTGAGTTATCGTGCAATGTTGTTGTTTGCTGTGCTGCACTCCTAATTTTGTTTGTGCTCATTAAACGCGCATAACTTGTGGTACCGCGCATTTTCTTAAATAATATTTTAATGAGGCTTCATTTCTTTAATTTTTCGGTGGCCGGAGGAAGTCGAATATTTCTTGCGCTTCATTAGGCGTTGCTTTACGTGCGGTGCGATGGATATTAATGGCTGGCAATTATGATATAATCGAAATCATTATTTATATATTTCACAGTTCGGAAATTAACACAAGGAAATATTAATGGTGAAATTATATAGCAAGTTGAATTAAAAGTTGAAAAATATTTGATTACTAATGTCATTCATTGGAAAATTGAGCAAAAACACAGAAAATACTGTTTTTTTGGAGGTTTTGAGACGAAAATTGTAGAAAAAAACAGAAATATTTCATTTTATTACACACAACACATCTCCAACAAATGATTTTTGGATAAAAATACTTATTAATTTAAGTATTATCTCGAAAATGTGTAAATTTGTGATTTTTTAATAAGAAAAATAAGAAAAATATTTTAAAATTGCAAAAAGTATTTTGTAATTTGTTAATCACTTGATTTATTCATAAAATTATGAAATATTAATTATGTCAAACACTTATGGTAAAAATTAAATTAAGTATTTTCCTTTTAAGTCCAAAAATTAAGCAAGATTAATGGTTTTGGCATGAAATTTTCGCTTCTTTTTCTTTAATTTTTGTTTCGTAACTGCTGCTGTATTTAGGTATTACTGTTCATGCTGCGGTTATTGCTGTTGTTGTTGTTGTTGTTGTTATTATTCTTTCTTTCTTCATTTTATTATCTCTCGGTAGTCAAAACTTTCTTCCGAAAAATGTTTCTTCTTCATACGCGGCCCATTGCACGCGCTTCACGGCGATCTCCATGGATTTCCATCCTCTTCCGTCTGCGTCGTCAAGGTGTTACCGAATTGAATATTTATAAAGCGCGTCGGCGTGATGTGTGAAAATTTCGTTTTTATCGGGAATTAATCAAGTGCGTTTTCTAGTGTGTCGTCACGCGCGAGTCGTGTGATAAATGATTACAACTATTGCGCTCAGGCAGCGACTAGGAAATATTCTCGGGCTCGGTCAAAGCCTTCAGACGTTGGGCGTTAGGAACGGAACGAAAGCACCGATTGAGTTATAAAAGCAATAATAATAAGGATGTAAATGCAAATTTTCGACATTTTTCGAATTTTTGTTCCGCTCTCTTCTCGTTTGCTGCAGAAATGCGTTCGAAGAAATCTGGAAATTTGTGGAAACATTATCGAAATGTTCCTAAAGACGTAAACAAATTAATCTTTATCTCACCGTGTGTTTAATCGTATGTAAACAGCAGAATATGATTAATTATTTTAATTATATTATATATTTGGTGATTTATTAATTATATTGTACGTGGAAGAAAAGCTGAATGCCAACATTATGATTATTTTATGATTATTATGGGTAATTATTGTTTTTGGAAAAAATCTCAAATTGGGCATCGAACGCATCATGCGTTGGAATCTCTGGAAGGATGGTACTCGAGGACTTTCTCGCCTTCTTCGTTGGTGTCTTCGTTCCTCTTCTTCACAGCGCGCGGCGCCAATGCACTAAAGTGGGTCGCGCGTTCGACGAATATTTCGCTTTGTAGTTTACGTTTATTTATTTACTCGATGTACACATCACGGTAAAATCTTCAGAATGATGATATCTACGGAAAATTGGATTTCATTAAATTTTCTTAGAAAAAATTATGAAAAACTAGAAAATATTGAATTTTAATTGTAATTGGAAAACATTTCGCTTTAATTTAAAATATTTTGCAGTTAAATTCAATTTGAATCTAAAACATAACCTATTTCAATAGTTGTCATTATAGGCAACCAAGTATACATCCCCAACTTTTAAATCGCTTGAATTAAAATGAGAATTTACTATAAAACTCAAAGATTTTATGTTAAATTCAAAAATAATCATTATTTTTATAATTTGTTATTTTCCTGAAAGTGTAGCACCGTAGTGTAGAATAATCCACCTGTACGATCGCGACTAGCACCTCTGTATCGTGCGCATTTCACGTTGCATTGCGGCCCGCTCGGCCGGTGTCTTGCGCTTGCTGCTGCTTCTCGGCGCTGTCCGCATCGTCCTCACCATTACCATTGCCAACAATACCGCTGCGCGCAGTGCTGTGCCGTGCCTCTTCGCGTCGGGCCCGTCAAACGCACCTGCGATCGTCGCGAACGCGGTCGTGTGTGCTCTCGCATTTCACCGCGCACACGACGCGAACTTTTATCGCAACACGCGAGTCACGCGCATCGCGAAATTTTATCAAAATTATTACCGCAATGACACTCTCGTGAACATTCGCATAGCCTTCTTAAAATGCGTTAATTAACTTTGTTTAATATGTAAATCAGCAAGAAAAACTGTTACTTGTGTGTAAGTTACATTAAAAGTTCTTTCAAATAAAAACAAGTTGGGATTGAATGTGATCGTGATCAGTGAGGATTTTGCGGATTCAAAATGGCTTCGATTATGTGTAGCAAGGAACAAATAAACGATATTATGGATAAAATGCACAAGGTAAATTCAATTTTATTTTTAATAAGGTCAAAATGTCATAAAAATCAAAACCACGTGTTTTCATTGGATTTCTCCGCTGAAAATTAACCTCAAATAATTTTTTATTAAAAACTAATAAAAATCAATTAATTTTCTATAGATTCGCGAGAGAAATCTAAAATTCCTTGTGTCAATGAATAAAATAGAATAAAATGTGCTAAAATAAGACGAGTCGTATCTCTAGCAAGCGACAAATTAACAGATGCCTGATTAATTGCGCTTTTTGCATGGTTGAATCGCATTAGGCTTCGCTTCTCAGTTATGTACGAGTAGTTAGTAGGCTTGGGATTTGTCGGCGTCGTCGTCGGCATTTTCATCTCTTGAACGTGTCGCGTTAATGAAACGCGTGTTTGCGCTGCACACGAAGATAAAATTACAATCACTGGCAATCACCGGCGAACGCAGTTTCGCGCATGTCTATCGATGCCGAGACGTCGAGATAGGCAGATAATAGTGCGAAAAGTCAGAAAGTCAGTGTGGCATCGTTCGCACTTCGCGTCTCGCGGTATTCAGGCAACAGGCAAGGTTTAAACATTTAACTAACAAAAACATGCAAGAACATGAACGTAAAAATAAATAGAATGCAGTAAATTCAATTTATTCAGTATAATTTTCGAAATGTTTTTACATTTGAATTTTTTATGAGTAAATTTATTATTTTTTAGAAAATATATTTGTTAGACAACGTGAAGAATTTATTTTCGCATTTTTTATTATTTTGCCAAAAATAATCGTTTTGTTGATTACTTAATATTTAATAAAAATGTTTGGTGAAATTTTAATTAAATGCGAAAATTAGGCGAATATAATAAAATTGTAAGCGAAATATGCAATACATTCTCGTATTTGAATTTAATACTTACTAAAGTTTATGATTGTCGTAAATTAGATATTATCTTTTCTGAACATGTAAAATGTGCACTTTCAATGAATTTCATGAGGTTTCTGTGTTTGTATGGTAATGAGCAGCTAAACGCGGTCGTCCTCCTTATCTACATTTTCTGTAATTATTTAATTCATCAGATAAACAATCTGTGAAGCATTATTTACACAATCTAAGATTTGCATGCACATAGAAATTTTACTCTTAAACTGTTAAAAACTGCACGTTTACGAAACTTTTTATTTTGATTAAATTCCAGTGCAGAAAATAAAGCAGCAATTTAATTGTGGTATTATTCACGTGTTTTTACTGCTCTTTGTACGCTAATTTTCTATTCATTTGAATATGATGCGATGCGTTCATGCGCAATGAATGTGTCAATTAAAATTCAATAAAAATAGAAATTCAATGAAAATCGTTTTATTGATATCTAGGGAAAATGAATGTGAATGGTAAACGAGATGAGAAATGTTGAAATGGAATAAAAAGTGATTCTTTACGAGCGCAATAAAAAAAGTACTGCAATTGCATGAATGGCAAATATAACGAAATCAAATGAGATGAGAAATGCGAATAATGCGCTGTGGCGTTACTCAAGAAAGTTGTGACAATGACATTGTGAATCTGATTAAGAAAGCTGCCCTCTAATAAGATTTTTTATTCTAAATTTAATGAAAAATGCTAATAATTTATCTAAACTCATTTTTAATTTTTTATTTTTGTTTACAAAACTTAGTGAATTCTATTTTCATCTAATAGTTCAATATTATTTCAACATTGCTGTGTGATATTTGTATTCTATTTTATTTTCCTCTGCACGGTTCTCACTGAAGTTATTCGGTTGTTCGTGCCCGCGCATGTAATACAACAGCCACGCTCTTGAGAGGTCTCGCGACCGGCGCGAAGAAGCGACCGAAGAGACCTATCGATGACCCAATAACCTATAATAGTACTAAAAATCATCGCCGACTCGCCGGCAAACTACTACTGCGCGCCTGCCTGCATGGCCGGCAAGTTGCGCGCAACAAACGCCGAACGGGCCCATAAAACTGCCGACATAAAAGTACTACATACTTTAAATGCAAATAAATACATCATCGCGCGCGCACACACACTTGCTGACACACAACCGGACCGCACAAGTGCAAGCGACAAGAGGTCAACGTATTAAATTATGTCAAAAGTAAAACAAAAAAAAACAACACAGTTTAAATATTTGCTTGATTTTTGTAAGTTTTGTGTCATAATAATTTTCACGTTGTTAGTTTTTATGATGTTTACATTCTTGTGCTGGTCATAATCGGAATTTCTGTGGTTTTCTAGGTCGATGCATAATTTACTTTCCAGCTTCTTCATGTTTTTTATTTGTTTGTGTTTTGGGAGAATCCGACAAAAACTAAAACTTTATAAGTTTTTTTTTTGTTTAGCGGTTGGAAGTTATTGCCCTCTGCATTCCAGCAAAATAAAATTATTGCATAATTTGACAGCTTACAAGGTGTAAATTATTAACTTTATAAATTTATTCGTAAAATATATTCCCATTTTTGCAAAGTCAAAGTTCGCGTGATTTTATTTGCATTTTTAGCTGCTGCATTTAATTGACACTGAAATTTTTGCTATTTTTCAAGAATTCTGTTTTTAATTTTTTATTATTTTCGTTTTGCGTTTCGTGTGCGCATAATCCAAATTGAAATCGAAACTTTACCACAACCTACATGATTGCGATATATTACTACTTATTATTGCTTGATATTAGAGGTAGACGAAACAAAAACGTGCAGAACTCGACCGACTGCGAGCTGAACATCAAATAGAGCATTACGATTTGCATAACACAACCAGCAACAAAACAATACAATACAATGGGTTATAAGTTACAAGCGCAATGGAATACAAGACATAATACTGGCTTATAACACTTGTACGTTTTATGTATGATGAAAGAACAAGTGTATAAACATATATTTTATTAATGAACTACGATAAATCAAAAATGTATTAACATTTCCTTAAAAGTAACGCCATCTGGTTACTAAAATAAGAATTAAAAAAATTAAAAATATTTTATTAAAACATATTGTGTGTTTACCTATGGTAAATTAGGTACTTTATTAACATATTACGCATATATTTATTACGTTTATAAGATGACTCGCCTATTTTACGTCCTAATTTGTTGTTATACACTTTTTATTCCCTCGAATTTGCACATAATAATGGTATTATGTGTACGCTTACGCTGCAATTGAGAACTTTTAATGTTAATTGGCTTTCCGATTGAATCGTACGATTAGATAACCAAATCCGAAACGAATATTTCATCAGTCTACATTTCTGACGCAGATTCACGTCAGAAATCAGTAACTAACTGTTAACGGAACGTGAGTACTTGTAAGTTGTCGAAATCGAGCAATAAAAACTCAAATGTTTTATAACTATTATAACATTTGAATATAATTTACTATTCATTCATACTAATGAGGTAGAAATACAATTATTTCACGTTTTTATCTCATAATTATTTTGTCTCAAAATTAGGCAAAAGAAGAAAGATTCTCTTGTGGATTCAAAAAAAGTTTCGTTTTCATTCCATGACACATTTTTTCACTGTTGAATTCGCGCCTTTTATAGCCACATAATTTGCTCGCATGCTCACAACACGTTCACATTCGCAATTGGCGATTTCGTTTTGGTTTCATTGATGCTTTTTTTCTGCGCGCGCGTTGATGATCAATTTCAGTTTTATTGAATACGAGTTTCAAGTTTACGATTCCAAGCGACACCGATTCTTGTCTCACGACGTGAATGAAGTGATGTGAATCTCGGCGAGTGCTGTTTGTGGCCTGATTAATCGTCCAGATCTGATCGGCGAGGTAATTAATCGACTTGCGACGTGCGACGTGCGACTTTTAACTTCTAATGATTCTCCAACTACAGATTCATGCGAGACTGAGCATTTGGCGTTCTGGGCGATTTCATAAATCGCTTTTTAAAGAGGTTTACGCTCATTTTAATCGCTTAATTCTAGACTCGATTAAGTGACGGAAAAAACCAAGGCGGTCGGATTAATTTTTACTTCCGAAACATTTCGTTACAAGTGTTTAATTACAAGTTTTCTAAATTCACATATTTATTTTTTCTTTAAATTTAAATTTAATGTAATGTATGTAATGAGAACAAGATAATTGTGACTCTAATTGTTTCTCGTTGCAAACGAACTTCTTGAATGTGTGTAAAGTTTAATTTAGGTGAATTGTGTCGTGCAGAACAAACAAGCACACATGCATACGCTTGCTTGAAGGTACTTATTCATATCTGTACGCAATTATAGTGTGCAGAGATGGCGATGTAAACAAATGAGATAACGCGAGTACGCGTGGCGCATTGTTTGTAAATGTTTGTAAAACTATAATTGAGCAAACAGAAAATGGCAGGGAGCAAGAAACATGAAATGAAGGCGGTTGGAAAGAATGTGCGGGTATGTCGAGGCACGTAAACTATGTTAAACTGTTCGGGACTGTGCTGAAAGTTTGAAAGAACGCGCCGCATCAAGATTGAAAAGTTAAGAGAGGAGATTCATTCATAGAAAAGGTCACAGTACATTATTATACTTACAACATAAAACAATTGTGTTTTCGTTTAACTTTCAATTTTGTGTTGATGCAACTGAGTATAAGCAACTTCTGACTAAATATTATTAGTGAATAAAATATAGTATTCATATCTATAATCCACTATAGAAATTATTATAAAAATGCATTAATATTGTTTCTCATTTTTAAAATTAAAATTCCGAATCCTACTGTCAGAATAAATTTTAGTACAACAATAAATATACTAAACTTATGTTGCACTTAGTCAACCGCTGATAATAGAACGGGTGGGTTGATATAAACGATTTGTAAATAAGTCAAATGGATTTGTCGACGGTGCGTCACAAAGCGCGGCGTTTTTGCATCACAAATATTTATTAGATTGATATTAATATTTATAATCTAATTTTGCATGCACTATGCATGTTTACAGCCCGTTCAAAATAAATTTAATCAATTTTTGGACATTATTGGAAAGTACTCTT